CCGCTGAGCCGGGGTCCGTGTGTCGGTCCGGCCCGGGGGGCGGGGGGGGTAGCGGTTCCGGGAGGCGGCCCCGGCGTCGCGCCCTGAGGAGCGCCCGGGGTACACGTGGCTCTGCCGGGTGGGAGCGGCCCGGCGTTCGGTAACACCCTCGCCCCCCCGCCCCTCCGTTTCGGCCCCCAGCGGCGGCCGGGGAACCCGCCCCGAGCCGCCTGCCGGGCCAGAGGGGGCTCCGTGCCTGTGCCGGGCCCTGAGTCACTCTGGTGGGCCCGGTGTCATCGCCTGCAAACATTACTTCGGTAGCTGCTCTGCAAAACTAATGAAGCCGTCTGACTTTTAGTCGTAACGCTTTTAAGTCACAGATAGTCGTTGGTGGATGCTGAGGCCCCAAAAAGGAAACCAAATGCTTATTTAGTTCAGTGATGTTTACATTTTGATGAAACATAAAACTTAATGTCAGGCTACAACTCCAGTTTTACACCAGCTGATTTCAGTGAAGACACACCAGGTGAAACTTGAAGGATTACGGTTTGAGGATTTAAGACCGGGTGGCTTCTGGAAAGCCCCACTCTGAACATAGAAGTCCTTCTGTATTGGAGATTCAAGCGGGGGGGGTGGGGTGGGGTGGGGTGTGCAGGCTCCGCCCCCCCCAACTGCAGCTAAAGTGAACAGTAAGCCACAAATTGTAATTTTGCTGTCAGCACAGAAATTTGAATTGTGTTCCTAACAGATTTTCCTTCCCCAGGCTGCATGTTGCACTAATACAGAGAACCAATTTGCATAACTTCTGTCAGTCTGAAGCACTGCCTGATGGCTTTCTGGTACAGAAGGTTAGTTTAAATGTTCTTTATATTTGTGTTCTGATTACTTTTCCATATTGGATTACTTTCATGTATTTGAAATGTTTTCCTTATTGTGTGAATACAGAGCATCTGGAAGCGAAATATACTGAAAGAAATGTCAGCCTATTTGGAAAAGCAGTAATTTGTTTTTTTCTTTAACATACGCATCCAGAAGGTCTAACATGGCCCGAGGGTTAACCATCCAGACTCATAATCGGCTTGAGAAGGAGCGTACACCTCCATACACCTTCACAGCTTTACGCATGTTTACTCTAGTAGCAAATTCTGTCCTGTTGGGTATTTCCGATTGGCCTTCCAGCTTTCCAGTAGAGGCCTTTTCTTTTGGTGAAGTTTATTCTTTGATATTTCATTTAAGTAGCTTTGATGGTTATAATTGTATGGAAGCAGGTTACATTTGGAGATTGCAGAAGGTTTTCAAACAGTGCATAGCATAAATCTTTCTAATGGAAATTTATGGCAGTGAAAAAGCAATGATCCTTTATAGCATTGTAGAATTTGCTGATGTTGAATTACCTTAGCTCTAGAAAAAGGATATCAGGTAATGAAGACTGGCTGGAGGGAAAAAAGTCTCAGCCTCTGTCCTGCTTTATGTCATGCATTTAATTCTCAGCGGCGGCAGGAAGGCATCACAGGAGAAGAAGGGATCTCAGCAGAGTTCTGTTGGCAGTCCAGTCGCCCCTGAAACGTAAGGTAACCTATTGGAGAAAGAGGAGTTTTTCTAGCTCATGGTCAGTTGTATTTTTGCGGGTTATCTCATTAAGCTACTTCAGATCTGCAAAAAATGCGATTGGTTTCCTGCAGTAATCAAAGAAAAATAAATGGCCTGTTTGAATGAAATGCCGCTGAAGCGGCACTCCGGGCGGGGGGTGACTATCGCGCTTCTCTCCCGGTTTTTGAACACCGGGAGCTGCAGAACTTGGCTTGTGCGAGGTCCCGGCGCTCCCCCGCGCCGCTGCGGGCTGCCCGGGCTGCCGCTGCTGGCTTCACACGGAACTGTTTCGGCAGCCGCCCCACGCGCGCCGCCGGGCAGCGGCGGGGGGTCCGGGCGCCGCCTCCC